TTGGGGTACAATCTAGTAATTCTGACAGATGCATACTACAGTACAACCATCACCAGGATCAAGGAACAGAACATTTCCATCACCTCCCAAAGTCCCCTCATACTCCTCCTGTGACCCTCTTACCCTGGTAACCACAGACCTTTCCTGTGATTTGATAGTTTTTCCTTTTCTAGAATGGCATATAAATCCATGAATTTGCTTCCTTCACCTAGCCCATGAATTCTCAACGGGGTAGTGAGGGCAATACTGTCCCCCAAGAGGTAAAAAACTGGTTCTTGGCAGGTGCAAAAACCTTAGATATTACACTGGTCTAGGTTCTCCAAAGGGCCCCAGCACAATAGACAATGTATCTGTGGCATTAAAATTTCATGAAGGAAATAGGCAGTTAGGGGGAAAAAATCTAAAAAGGCTAGAGGAGGTGTAGTAATTTTTAAAAGGTTGACAGACACAGATTTAGCATAATGCATTTGAGATTCATCCATGCTGTTTCCTGTATTAATAGCTTGTTACTTTTTGCTATTGAGTAGAATCTTGGTACAGAAGTGCCAGTTTGTTTCTCCACTCAGTCATCAATGGACACATGCTTTCATTTCTCTTGAATAAAAACCTAGGAGTGGGAATGTGGGATTGAGTGGTAAAGGTAGATTACATTGCTCCCCACAGGGTGTGCATGCTCATCCCCACAAGCAATGGCGGAGAGTCCCAGCAGTCACACATCGTCACCAGCGCTGGGGGGTTAGCAACTGCTTGCTGTTTGCTTGCTTTAGCCATTCCAGTAGGTGTGCAGTGGTATCTCACTTGGTTTTAATTTGCAGTTTAATGACAAATGAGACTGAGCATCTTTCATGCATTTTTTTTTTCATCAGTATAACTTGTTTAGTCCAGAGTCTGCCCAAATCTTTTGCCTGACCCTTATTAGGTTGTTGGTTTTCTTATTACTGAGTTGTGAGAAAGAATTCAGTTTTAAGTGGTTAAAACGGTTTTTTAGAAAGTGAGGATGCTCAAAAGAGGGAATATAGCTATCAAATGTTAGGCTTTGCATCTACCACCCTGTTTTCCTTACAAAACTATTATACTTTAACTACCAGAATACTCATAGTTCCTACATAGTTATATAATGTTTTTTGCTTTTCATAATGGTTTCAATTTCTAAAATTTTTTTGGTTTGGTATGGCTTCTTTCTAGGGTAAGGACAAAGCATGTATAATTTCATTTTTTTTTTTTTTAAGTTACTGCTTAAGTCAGAGTTGACAGCCATCATGCTAGGCCAATGGCTCTGAAATTTCTTTAACTAAGGTAGCCACCTTAAAGGAGCTAAATTCCTCACAAGCCACTTCCTCCACCTCCCAATTCTACTCTTTCTTGGAAAAAGAACTCAGGACTAAGACACTTGTGACTATATAAGAAAAGTCTGAGAGGACTATTGTATTTACCTCCCTATCTAGCAATAAGCACATATATGGGACAGTTCATATTTTAACCACAATTCATATAGGTCTGAAGTTTTGTTACTTGAAAATATGGGTAAGAAATACCATTGCTGGGGGCACCTGGGTGGCTCAGTCGGTTGAGCGACTGCCTTCGGCTCGGGTCATGATCCTGGAGTCCCGGGATCGAGTCCCGCATCGGGCTCCCTGCTCGGCGGGGAGTCTGCTTCTCCCTCTGACCCTCTTCCCTCTCGTTCTCTCTGTCTCTCATTCTCTCTCTCTCAAATAAATAAATAAAATCTTAAAAAAAAAAAAAGAAATACCATTGCTGGAAACATGCATCGCTACACTTTGTTACAATAACTCAGAGAACTCAGTTGAAGATAATGATACTCAGGTAACTGAAATTAATGATTACAAAGCAAAAGAAGCAAATGGAAACAATGACTACCTCCAGAGAACGCTAAATATGAACATCCTTCCAGAACAAGGTAGGAACTCAACACGTTCCATGAATAAATGAGTGGCTAGAAAAAAAACTGCAGAATTCCAACGGTTATGCATTTGAAATAAATACGCTTTGTGAAGTTGTGTAAGAGCCAACTTCTTGGCAGCACACGAAAAGTTAAATTCCTCAACAAACTCTAACTCATGTGCTAACTGTTATCAAACAACAAACTGTAATCATCTCTACAAACTCATTCAGGAGACTTTAATAACAACCTTACAGAATTGGGTACAGTTGACCCTGGAACGACATGAGGGTTAGAGGCACTGAGCCTCATGCAATCGAAAATCTGTGCATAACTTGACTCCCAGAAACTTAACTACTAATAGCCTACTGTTGACCAGAAGCCTTACTGATAACATAAAGTCGATTAACACATATTTAGTATGTTATATATACATATAGATACATAAACAGAGATTATATATAAAGATTATATACTGTATTCTTACAATAAAATAAGCTAGAGAAAAAATGTTAAGAAAATCATAAGAGAAACACATTGACAGTACCATACTATAGAAAATCTACCTGTAAGCAGACCCATGCAGTTCAAATTCATGTTGTTCCAGGATTAACTGTGTATCATTATCTCAAAGTCCCAAAAGGACACGTCTTTTTTAAGCCCTTTCCACCACATCAACATTCTGACCAGGTCACTGATCAGGGTGATCTCGAGCATTCCCAAAATGTGAATTACCACTGTTGTAGCTGCGCATCACTATACAATAACAGCTCCCCAATTTATATCCTAGGACTAATCCTCTCCTCTGAGCTCTAGGCTCCAACAGTCAAATGATAACTTCGCATCTCCATCTGCACATCTCACAAATTCCTTAAACTCAACAAGTGTACAATTAAACTCAACCTTGTCTTTACAAAGTTTCCTGTCAACCAACTTGTAAAATAACATCACTGTCCACCCAACTGCTCAAACTTGAAAGGCTGGAAGACATCCCTGTGTTTCACCCCTAATATGCCATCAATCAACAGATCCTCTTGCTGCTTAACACTAAATCTCTCCAATATACAGACACTTGAGCTCTTATCTCCACCACCACTATTTCTCTTCACATTTTAACAAAGTTATTGTTGTAGAGTTGACATACAACATTCTAATTGGTTTCAGGGGTACAACATAGTGATTCAACAATTCCGTGTATTACTCAGTGCTCACCACAATTAGTATAGTTGCCATCTGTTACTATACCATGTTATTATAGTATTATTGAGTATATTCCTTATGCTGTACTTCTCATCTCTGACTTATTTTTTGTCTACCTGTAAGAGAGCGGCCCAGTTTCATTCTTTTGCATGGAGCTGTCCAGTTTTCTCAGAACTATTTATTAGAAGGATTGTTTTGTTCCCATTGTATATTCTTGCCTCCTTTGTTGTAGATCAACTGATCACGTAAGCTCCACCCCCACTCTTTGAATTCAAGGCAACATCACCTCCTGCCTGAAATACTAACGGCTTACTAGTTATTTCCCACCTCTGCAATACCGCCCCTCCCCATCAATCTGTTTTCTACGTCTCATAGACTGGTTAGATATATCAGAGTACATATTTGCAACGGAATACCATGCAAACATACAAAAGAATGATACTATGTGGAGAGAGGTCATCAAAAAGACATAACTGCCAAGTGACCCATGAATTGGACCTGGGCCATCAGAGGGTCCCCACCGCCTCTGCTGTCCTTAGAAAGCAGGTTCCACTTGCCTTTCTTGCTCCCAGAGGCTGCGCCCAGGACAGAGCCTTGCGATAGTGATGCGGTGTTGAGAACACCTGCACCATATACATGACTGAACCCAAGTAAGGCCTCTATATAAACCTGTAAGGTTTGGCGGGCGGGTGCAGGGATCCATTCATCTTGCTGCTGCCCAAGTAAAGCCTTATACAGAAGTTCCCTTTGCTTATGAAAATTGCCACCTACCAACCTGCCACTTTCTTGGGTCTCTCCTTGCCTTCCGCGAACAGAGGCCGGTTTCAGATTACACCCGGAAGCTCCTAGGAGGGCTGCAATCCAACAAAGTATCTCTTTCTTTACTGCCAGGGAACAAGATCTAAAATCGTAACATGTGTAGAACAGTCTATATAATATTTTGCTGTTTGTATAAAAAAAGGGTGAGGAAAAATAAATCACTTGTGTATTTGCCTGTACATGCACAGGACATCTCTGGAAGGGCACACAGGAAGTGAAACTACAGGTGTCTCCAGGGAAGAGAACTGGAGGTGGGCAGGAGGCGACACTGCCATACCCTTTGCTATCCTTTGAAAATCCCCTTTATGTGACTGTTTTACCTATTCAAAAAACACTTGCAATTAAAAGAAAAAAATACCTTGCTCTCAGCATAAACTACCAAGACCTTGATCAAACCCCTGCCTAACCCCCCAGTCTCCTATCAAGCCACCTTCTCTCTCTCCCTCTCATGCACATGTGTACACACACACACACACACACACGGATTCTTTCTGACCCTCCAAGGCATCAAGTTTCTCCCTGCCCAGAGACTCTGCACATGCACCTTCCTCTGTCCCCCAGAACGGTCTCATCCCACCCCTTCCATGCTAACTCCTATTACCCTTCAGGTTTCCATGTAAATGTCACTTCCTCAGGTACCCTGGGAAGCTTCCCTGACTCCCAGAGTAAGTCCAGGGCCACCCAGCACACTGCCACTACACTCTGTACTTCTCTTCTTAATACCATGACATTTAAAAGAAAACTCCTATTCTGTATCTGTTTACTCAACTAAACGCCAACCCACATGGGGACAGTGGCTGGGTCTGTCTTACTGACCAAGCAGGAGGAAATCTGGCAGCCTGAAGGTACAGAAGAGTGCCCTCCAGTGTGTGGTTGTGGGGAGAAGGGAAGGAGACTTGCTGTGAATCTGGGGAAGAAGAAGGCTGGCATGATGCGGGCACTCACACGTTGCTCGAATAAATAAATAAATACATGGACAGAGGAAGAGACCTGGGCTTGGATCCAGCTTGCACGCCTAGTGGCTCAGTCACCTCCAGCAGAGATGAACATTTCTAAACCTCACATATACAATGGAAACAGTCGGGGCACCTGGCTGGCTCAGTCAGAAGAGCATGCGACTCTTGATCTTGGGGTCGTGAGTTCAAGCCCCATGTGGGGTATAGACATGACTTAAATAAAACCTTAAAAAAAGAAAAAAGAAAAGAAAATGAAACGGAAACAGTGGCATCTGCCCCTTGGAGTTGTTGTGAAGGGCTACACAAGGTAGCAAAGAATCAAGCACAGACTAAGTGCCGTCCAGAACCCAAGGAATGACCATGGCACCCACAGGAAGAAAGGAACAGTTCCAAAGTTTGTGCACCTTAAAGTTTAAGAGATGGCCCTGGCCCGAGGGAGAGAGGATACATCTTTTATTTAGCATAAAAACCAAGACTCACAGAGATAAGCCATGTAACAGAAAGGTATTTAGGAACAGAGATGCACAAATTGAATAAGATAGCAGCAGCAGATGTGACAGCAGGACTTATGGACACCTGCCCCCACCCAAGTGACAGAAGAGCTGAAAGTGGGGAGGGCCAGAGACAAAAGGCATGAGAGCCCCCCCCCACATTCTGGGGAATGGGCAGGAGGGGTGACGCCTTACTAGGGAATGGCCAGATTCCGCTGCAGGAGAAGACATCCCACGACCGCAGAGTGAGGTCTACCATAACAGCCCTCGGAGATGGGGATCTGAACCTTCTCCAGGGAACGGCGCAGGGTCATGAGTATACAAATGGTTAAGCCAAACGTAACGAGAAAATGGACATTTGCAAAGTACCTGGAAGGAATACGTACACAAATATTTGATGGGTTGGTACAAACGGATTCATCTCAGCTGTGTATTATCAAGACTTAGAAAGGGCAGCTATACAAATTCTTGGCGTCTGCAGTGATGAGAAACATACCACCTTGTAAAGCAGTCCGTTCCATTCCCCAACAAAGAATCAGAACTAGGCTGTGGCTCATTATAAGGAGAAAGACGCCTATCTTCTGGTAGTTGTGTGCACTGGCCCACTCTCTCCCACAGATGAGGTCTAATCTTTCTTTCACATAAGAGACCTCCAAATATTTGAAGATTATAAGTAGGCGACCATATGTTTCCACTTGCCCATGCCCATCATCCCAGCGTAATTATTAATACTGACCTCTTTCACTCTCAAAAAGTCCTGCTTTGGAGAGTAAATCATATGATCACCCAGTTATGGGAAACTCCCTGAAGTATTCTCTTCTTTGGGCTAAGCATTCACCTTCTCACCAACCATTCCTCCCATGACATAATTCCCAGTCACAATCCCTTATGCCCTTAGCTCTGAATGAGCTCCAGGGAACTGGCATTCCTAAACCAGATATAATATTCTAAATATAATTTCTCACAGGAAAAATCAGACCTTACTCCCCTGATCAGATAGGGGCACCTTAACATTTTCAGGAATAAGATCACACTCTTTCCTTATGTTAAACCCAAATTATCAATTAAAACTTCTAAGTCATTTCCCCTTAGGTTTCCACCAGGCAATACTGTACTTACACGATAGGTTTTTAGAACCTTTTACAAGGCCTTACATTATTGCATTAGATTTCATTCAGTTCCTTACTTCATCCAAATGCACAACGCATTGTAATCTGCCTTGTACTTGATCTTCCCCCACTTGATCCTATCTCCTAATCTGAAAATCCTAGCTAGAACAAGCCCAAAGAAACCTCCTCCAGGCTCCATCGATCCCTCCCTCCCTCACAGACACCTTTTGGGGATGGTCACTCAATTACTAATATGCCTAACAAAAAGTTAGTCCATATTTTTCACCAGGATCTTCATGAGAATGTTACAAAATATCTTGTTTAAATATCCTATGTTTACTGCATGAGACTATTTTGGGACATTTTATTTTGGAGGTAGTGTCTGAATGTCATCGTGGAAGTATGGTGAAAATAGTTGGAGAAGAAGAACAGAAGTACATTCACCCACTGATACCTAGTCATTCAAGAAACTCAACTTCTCTATGTGCCAAGCATTGTGGCTGGCTCACATGACACACTGGTAGCAAGGTACATGGCCCCTACTTAACACAGAATTTTGAAAAACACTCATATTTAAAGACTTAAAAGAAGACCAATCAAAAAAACAGAGTAGGGGGAGTCAAAGATTAAGGTTAAGAACAAGGGGGATGTCTTTTGCCAAGAGCCAAGGAAAGAGGCTTTTGATGAGAGAAGAGTCAAAGGAGACCCTGCGCCTGCGTGGTGTTAATTAGAATGGTACAAACATCACTGGAAGGTACAATTGATTTGCAAAGGAAAGGGAAGGAGTTTGACCTTGAACATGTGAAATAATAATGGGAAAATATATTCCTGATGACTTGAAGATTAAATGTATAAAATAATTTCTTTTTAAAAAGACTAGAGGGGCGCCTGGGTGGCTCCATCGGGTTAAGCATCTGCCTTCGGCTCCGGTCATGATCCTACAGAGTCCTGGTATTGAGCCCCACATCAGACCCCCTGCTAAGTAGGGAGCCTGCTTCTCCCTCTCCCTCTGCCTCTTCCCCCCTGCTTGTACTTTCTCTAATAAATAAATAAGATCTTTAAAAAAATTAAAAAGACTAGAAAAAAACAAGGATATTTTCACAATCCTCACACAGAGAAGGCCTTGCTAGGCATTTGACAAAACCCAGAAGTGTAAGAGAAAAGACTGGGAAATTTCATTAAATAAAAATTCAAAACATTAAACACCATAGAACTCCATAAAATCTATATGGAAAAAATGTATATATAGTACATTAGCAAATGACTAACTGCTCTCATTATTTAAATAAGAGCTTTTACAGATCATAAGAAAAGAAACAACCCAATTTAAATATGAGAAAAACATTTTCCAAGGAAGCTGTTAAAAGAATCCAATCTAACAGTTTAAGAAACGTGCATTAAAACAATGTGGCTCTCCACCCACCCCACCCCTGTCAGATCAGGAAAGACAGGAAGACTGCAGACCCCAGAATCAGCAGAGCTGTGAGGAAAGAAGCATTCACAAACACTGTTGGTGGGCATGAATGCACTTTGTGAGGGCAAAACTGAAAATATCTATGGAAAGTGTACATGTACACAGACGGCAATTTCACGTCTAGAAATTTATTCTGCAAAGAAATCTTGCACACTGAAGGGGTCAGAACTTAAGTACCCAGAGGACAGTAAGAGCTTATCAGCCACAATGATAATAAACAGATATATAAAAACAGGGGACAGCGGCAGGCTCGTCCTTACCCCATGATGAGGAATGAAAGTAAGGAGAACGGGAAAGACAGAAAATCATATTCTACAATCTACAGAGCAAAGATGAGAGCAGGCAAAAGTGCGGGCATCGTGGATGTGAAATCTACAGGGAAATCTGCTAGGGAACAGGACTTTTTTATGTTCTCCAAGGGTCTCCCCACAGACTACTTGTTAGCCGCAAGGTAAAAAGGAGCAGATCATTGCTCATAACCTCTCTGTCTGGATGGTTCCAGGTGAGCCGGCGACGAGAGGAACTCACATGAGATTTAGAAGACACGAGTGACAAAACACGTGGAGAAACAAGACGGCACCTTGACTGAGTGATCAAACACAGCACAATCAAGGCAGAAGAGGACCCAATGTATCCCTGCTGCCACAGGAAAAGGGTACAACATGACACAGCACAAGTGGGACCCTCTGCCCGGAACGTAGAGCCAAGGGTCCACTCACGGCATAGCATCCGACAAGCCCACACCGAGGAACACGTTACAAAACAGCTGATCTGTACTCTTCAGAAATGTCACGGTCATAAAAGACTGATGATCCATGTTCCAAATTAAAGGAAACGAAAGAAGACGTGACAACTAAGTGCAATACTTAGCTCGGAACCCTCCACGGGAGGAAGGAAAGGACATCACGGGGGCAACCGACCAAGTGCCACGTTGACAGCAGATTAAAGTGCCACGTCAGTTCTGCGTGTCTGGAAACCGTGTTGTGGCTGGAGAAGAAGACAACTTTGTTCTCGAACATGCACGCTGAAGTGACGTGGGGTGAGGGGACAGACGGTATGCAACTCTCACGTGGTTCAGCAAACAAAGTTATAGATAAATTTTCGAAAGAGAACAAAAGAGAAAATGATAAAGCAAATGCAGCAAAAATGTTCAAAATACTTGGTGAGCCTGGATAAAGAGTAGGCCAGAGTTCTCTGTACCATTTTTGCCATTTTTCTGTAAGATTAAAATAATTTCAAAATAAAAGATTTAAATGTAAAAGCACACAAAGTTGTACATATAAGGACAGTCACTGGGGTATCATTTACTAGAGCAAAAAACTAGAAAGAATCCCAGTGCCTACTGACAGAAACACAAATACTACAAGTAAATACTCTAAGAAACTTTTATCCAATGCTATTAATTAAAAGCGTGCATTAAAGCTACATGAACTAATAGCGAAAGGTATCTAAGATATTCAGTGAAAAGCTTAAACTATAAACTATGTCTAGTATTATCCCGTTTGGTTTACAAAAAACAATTATGTCACTACGTGCAATTTTTTTTAGGAAAGGGGACAAATCCATAACATCCGGTTAACAATATAATGTCTTTTGAGTTGAAACTGCAAGAGACTTTCATTGTCTACCTAATATATTTAGTAAGGGAGGAAGCCGCAGAGAATGAATGGCTGGGACTTGGCTGTCTATGGAACATATTTCCAACAGGGGACTTGGCTGCCCAGGGAACGTATTTCCAATGGGGAGGCATGCCCACACAAAGGAATGACCACTGACATGACGGCAGCCAGAGTCCCAAAAGGAGAAAACACGGTGAAGAACAAAGACACCAGGACAAAGCTCTTCCTAGGTGTGACCAAAGCTTTAAGACACAGGTGGGCTGGGAGAACGGCCACAAGTGAAGGGGAAGGAGACAAAGTCCAAGAGAGAAACTCTGATGTAAGGCAAGGCAGACAGGCTCCAAGCCGGTGAAAGGAGCCACAGGGTCACACACGGAAGGAGGACCAAGGAGAAGGAAGACTGGGGAGGGCCTCTGGTGCTGGGCCTGGGGCTGTCACCTCCTGTCTCGGTGCCCCTCCGCCTGGACGGGCCCCCCGGGGGTG